GGTGACCCGCGACATGAAATTATCTCTCAAATTGTGATTTGTTTAAGCTCAATCATCATCAAACCTCCTGCGCCTTCAACGGAAAATGTGTAAACAAATGGCCTCGTTAATCATCTGAACAATGCTACCGATCCCACAATCAGGTTTATCGACTTGGGTCAATATATTTTAATGTGAATTAGTAAAGTGAATTATTGACTTATTTTGAATTATTATTGAATAATTATTCAGTTGGGAAAAAGACAATTTCGTACCTGCCAAGCCCCTTCTATAGGCCAGCAATCGTTGCATTTTCCAAAAAAACTGACCCATTTTTCAACCAACATCATACTAACATGACCCTCGAAAGATCAGTGTATAGTTTGGTACGATATATGGGATAGAATTTTTATGCCGCGTGAAACAACAACGCTTTTTTCAGGCTAAATAAATATAGACATAGATAGCGTAAGCTTGCCACTGAAGCTTTCCCCATGACATTATTAGGTTTGCATATAAATATAAGGTCCTTGTCAAGCAAGCCATACTAAGATTTTGCGCTGAAAATGACATCGAACACATTTTCCAACACGGCTTTCGGCGAGGGCCGCAAATAAGGCAATGGCAGTGATGCACGCTATCAAAGGGTCGTTTTGTTGACTTCGAAGAAGATGTCTTTTTCAAAGTGAACTGTACGTTTGTTCGACCACACCTAGAGTATGGCATACAGTCGTCGCCGCCATGGCTAGTAAAAGACACAACACGTCTGGAGCAAGTGTAGCACCGGGCAACAAAGCCAGTAAGAGGTCTAAATAACCACTCGTACATAGATAGACTGGCATGCCTAAATGTATTCCCTCTGCATTACAGGCTACAAGGAGAGGATATTATTTTAATTAAAAACATAATGCACGGTCTTGAGAGGATATCTTTTAGTGGCACCTCATCTCCGTGGGCACACAATGAAGCTGCGCACGAAGATGCCCAAGATCAACCTCCGCTCTGAATCCTTCACGCCACGTTCTACACAACAGCGGAGCTGCCTCCCGCACACAGTCGTGGAGGCCACTTCCCTTCAGTTGGACAAACAACGCTTTAATTATTACATGCGTTTCCTGTTTTTCGTCGATGCGTGAACTCTAACCAACATACTTATTTGTAAAAGCAACGCAAGTCACTGCTTGCCAATACTGTGTTATAAGTGGTAATTTTGATATGTGCATTTGCATGCGTGTGACGCACCGGCATGTAATCAATAGGGTTTTCAAAGGCATTGCCTATTATCCTCAACAAATGAACTGAAATAAAATTATATGTAGGGACAGGTAGCGAAACTTGTTTCTTCTCGTGCTTATTTTCGCTGTTTCACATCTGTCTAACACGCTCACCAAATGTTGACCCTGATTTTCCTCCGATTCACCCTCTCTTGAAATTTTAAAATTTGTATTTGTTAGCGCCACAACAGCACTGTTCGCACAACGTAATTACCATGTAAATATAAAGGTCTGGAAAAAGTTTATCAAAAACAAACATTTGTTCGCACATTCATCTTCTGAACTTGTGGTTTATCTCGATTGCACCTTAAGTCTACCTTTTACTACCGCCACTGTCTTACTGCTCATTCCACTATACCTAAAAGAACATTGACTAACCTACTGCCACATGAAGGTGTCCTCAACATTAAAGAAGCTTTTGTGTATGTACTTTTAATTGCCCTGCAACGCAGACAATCTCGGGTCAAGATCTGCACCCCCAGTAATGAAGGTCAACGAAAATGCTTGGGATTTTTTGAAAATAAGTTCATCTGCTGGCAATATTTTCGCTCCCTCAATTTGCATCGCTTACAACACGCCAACCCACGTACGCAGACGTTTCGAAAATAAGACCCAGCGGCCATTTTTGCAGCATACAGTTGAGCTTATGTTTTTGGTGCCCAATCACCTGTATTTTTCCTTCTTACCCTAAAATATCAACTAACTTGGATATTAATCCACTACATCTAAGGAGTTTGTAAGAGAAAGTAGATAAACTATTTCGTCCGCTTAAATTGGGTGACATATCTTTTGATTAACTTTGCAGCCATCAAACCGACTCACAGCTATGTCCTTTATAATTCACAGTTAATCAAACAGACAATTTCGGGAACATTA